TTAAATCAAGATTATTGTAATACTTGTGGTAATGGTGGTCAATTAATGTGTTGTGATTCTTGTCCAAGAGCTTTCCATTTCACGTGTTTAGTTCCTCCACTTGATATTGACAATACACCACAAGGAAATTGGTATTGTAGGGTTTGTTGTGCAGAGGAAGTAAGTTTATAAAAATCAAAGATTTATTAATTTTATTTATCTTAAATAAAGATTCATTTTATCCAATTATTGTAATATTAATTCTTAAAACTATTGAATATTAAATATTAAAATAGAATCCACCATCAGGTCCACAAGGCTTATTTCAAGAATTAATAGAAAGAATTAATAATCCGATCAATGAGAACAATGATAATGAATTAATTAATGGGTTATCTTACGATGAAATTATTATTTATGGTAACAGTAGTAGTAGCCATGGTAATGGTGATGGTAGTTGTAATGATGTTGTTGGTATTAATAATGACAAAGGGGAAAAATCTGATAAGATTAATCTTCTTAGAAATGAATTTCACAAGTATATCAAATTTGTGATTTGGAAAGAGATGGATGAAAATTTTTTTTCTAATCATAACTATATATAGAATAACAATATTACAAATATATTAACCTTGAAAAATTTTGTTGTTGTCGTTGTTGTTGTTGTCCTTGATTTAATATGAATTTCTGACTTAATGAATTTTTTATTATTTTCCCATTTAATAATTCAGATGATTGTTTTGCAATAATATATTTTTCTGATAAATGAATTTTACTTAAATAAATCTAAATAAAAAAGCTTTATTTAATAAATGAATCTGCCAAATATATCTACATGTATCTATATATGTTGTAAGTTACTTTGTTATATTCCTCTTCTAATTCCTTTAATGATGTATTACTAAACGGTGATGATGATACTTCTATAGAAGATTCCTTTTTATGTATAAATAAATAAATATTTGTTTTTTAAAAGTATTAATTATATTGGTATATTGTTTGATTGATGATATATTGATTGATTGATTGACATGCATAATTCTCTTGCATACATTATTCAAATTAAACAGTGATTTTTTCCTAATTTCTTGTTCAAGATTGAATAGCCTTTTTTCTGATTCTTGATAATTTTTTAAAATATTATTTTCCATATAATTAATCGTAAAAGTTTTTTTTTTCAAGATAAAAATTTTCTAAATATAATATAAAAAAATAATTTTCATATAATTTCTGGTGACCATCTTCAGGGTCACTGATTGACTATTTAACAAAAAAAAAACATTTGCAATTAAATCATTTATTTCGATTTATTTCGCTTCCTGTTGTAAGGATTTTTTTTAATAAAGGCAGATACATTACTTTGAAATTTTATAATTTCTAAATATTCAATGATTTTTTTCAATTCACGGTCATTTTTTATTTTATTGTGAAATCTTGCTGGTTGAATTATATTAAAAGGTTGCATAGCAGCTTTAAGATATGAATCATCGATTAGAATTGTGTTTGCTTGATCCCAAAAATTATTACTATTACCACTACTATCATTATTATTAGTAATGGTGATAGTTGAGTTTTTATTGTGTATAGTAGAAAAATTATTCCAAATAATTTCCAAATTTTTAATTTTCTTATAAATTAAATTTCCCTTATCCATCTTATCTCTTGCCAATATCTCTATTAGATTTTTTGATTGTTCATTAAACACTATATCAACCAGTTGTTTTACATTATTTGGTGCGGCAGATGACCAAACCATCACTGAAAATTCATTATTTTTTGAAAATATATATTTTAAAAATTCAGATAAATAAGGTCTTAACAGTGATGGTTTACTTTTATTATATACTAGAGTGCCATTAAGATCTAGAACCAATAATTTTGGTTGAACTTTTAAAATTTTTTTGGAGGCTTCTTTGACTTTTTTCAAATATAACGGCGTAGGTTTTGGTAACAGTAACTTTTCCATTATTACTTGACGAGAAAAAATTGAAGATTAGATTTTATGATGATGATGTAACTTATGTGTTACATTCAACAATCTTTATGATCTTTATATTTTTTTTTTACATAACTTGAGAAAAAATATCCTAATATATAATCTACATTACGTTAACATTAATTATGATTAATTATCAATTATTTGTTAATTATTGTCAAAGAACAGACAGATTTAGTGAAAACAACGAAATACAGATTTTGAATTTATAATTTAGCTTTAGGTTTAACACTGGCTAATACTTTATCTAGTTTAGTAGCCAACATCATATTACCCTTAATCTTAAGTTTACCACCCAAAAAAGCTTTTTGACCTAATATAATATTAATAATTAGATAAATTAGTTTTATCCATTAATCGATTTAATTAAATGAATAATAATTGTCACTAACCATTTAATTTTCCTGATGATAAATCAACAAAGGTATCGTCCGACAAACTGATAGTAATATCAGGTTTTGCTGAACCTTTGCCAGCTATAACAGTTCCTTCGTTTTTAAAATCCAAAGTCCAAATTTGTTCTTTACCTTCAGCATTCTTTACAACAATTTCAAAAATTGCCTTAGTCTAAATCAATATTAATTTAATTAATTATTGTTAGTTTGATGATGATGATAATGATTGAATTTATATGAAATATGTAAATACATCTTTAATGGTTTGCTTCTTTAATGGTTCATTTTGACTAATGGCACTTTGAAGTTGTTCAAGTACGACAGAAGATTTATATCCCTCTACAAAAACACTCATTTTTACAATTCTAAAAAAGAAAAATTTTTATCTAAGGAATTGAAAAAAAATTTGAAAACAAATTTAATTTTTTTTTTTTAGTATATATCCACATGATATATTAGGTTATTTGTGATTTCAGCTTACCAATCTTGCTTATTTGTGTTGTTTGAAAAATGATATTCAAAAATTTTGTCAAATATAGAGAAAAAATCGGTAAGTGTCATTTCCCCGGATTTTGCCAAATAGTAATTGAAAATTTCTTCTTTAAATGAACAATAAAGATGATAGTTCGCATACCACATCACATGTAAGAAAAACCAATCATTCAACCTTAAAAAAAACTAAGTAAAATAAATGAATGAAATTTCAGAATTAGGCTAGACATAATGGAGTCTTTGTTTAATTCGCCGAGTGTTGATTGATTGATCCATACAAGTTATATTCATACCGGGTTACGTACTTGAAATAATGAAATTCATTTTTGGACATATATGTAACAATACTTTGTTGCAAATCTGACGGAGCATAAATAAAAAGTATATTAAAAAAATACAATTAAAGTTTAATTGAAAGCTTGATTTTTTTTAATTGCAAATCTAACATATTTTGTTTCAAATCCAAAAAAAATAACCAGGAAACTCTCGAATAAAGAAACCAACAAAGAGTCAGATCATATTTCTATAAGAAGAAGATTACAATTGATATTGCTGCAGAAATTTAAAATTTCTTATTCAAAAATGAAACTTATTGATAATTTATATTGTTTTCTTGAAACAAACAAAAATGTAAGATCCATTCATAATTATTATTCTTATTGTGTACCGCTCACGTGATATTAATATATATTTGTACGAGGCAAGGGAATTAGTTTTGTATTAAGATTATAATAGTAACAGTAATGATAAGGTATGAATGGAGAGAAATTTTGCGTTTTAAAGAGCTCCTCGATTTCCAAGAAATAAACAATATAAATAAATTTGTATAAAAGGAAGAAAATTTTTTTAGATTTTACAAGTTTTAATTCAGGTTGGAAAAATATAAATTTATAATTTTTAATTAATTAAAATACTTTTTTTGTTACATAACACTTTTTTAATTAAATATATATATAATCTTTAAGATAAAATCGTAACAATCTCTTTACCTACACCATTCAAATCATATTAATATATATATATCTCATATATATATATATATATATATATTTATATATTACACATATATTTCCATACATTTATATAAAAAATTTATATAAATACCTCAATAAAAATTTTTTTTCCTTTTGTTAAAAATTTAATCCTGGAAATTATTATTATTTTTAAATGAGTGTTTTAATGATAATAAATTATAATTTATATATAATATAATAGTATCGATAATAAAATTATGATGTTTCCTTGTGGTGAAAATTTGATTATGCTATCGATCTCTTATGCAAATATAGATGCTATAGTTACAAGTATTCCACCTGAAATTTTTATAAATATATGTCAAGACCTAACACCAATAGATCTTATCACTTTGTCTAGTGTATGTAAAAAATTCTATTGGTATTTGTGTTCAAAAAATTCTATTACAACTCAAGAGATTTGGAAAAATTCACGTAAAAAGTTTTTACCATTTGCACAATTACCCCCACCTCAAGGCATGGATGAAAGGAGTTATGTTAGATTATTGACTGAACGTGGCTGTCAGTTCTGTGGTAGATCAAGAGTTAGAAGAGTCTACTGGGCTTTCAAATTTAGATGTTGTAAAAACTGTTTGGAAAACAGAACTATGAGATTTGATCAAATAAAACGTGGAATCCTTGGCAGTCTACACATTTCTGATGAAATTTTATCTGGCTTGCCTTATATTACTGGTCTTTATAAGGGTAGCCTGGATAAGAGTCTAAAGAACAGACCTGCAAACTTGTATTTGATAAGTGACGTTTCTTCCGCTTATCAGGAATTCATCAAACTACAACAAAAGAATGATCAACAATTACTTAAAGATTGGCTGGAAAAGAAAAAAATCGAAGGAGAGAAATTAATGGAAGATGCAATTGCACATGAGGACGAGCATGAGAAGGAGTGTTTGAAAAAAACAGAAGAGAATGGTAAAAAAAGAGATGATCGAGCCACTACTATAGAAAAAATGATCAGGAAAGAAAAAAATTTTTATGGATTTCCCAGATTTAAGATTTCAATAGTTGAACAATGCGTGACATACACTAAAGCCACGATGTCTAATTCTACTCGTCCTTTTACAGAAAGAGCTTGGATTGGATTAAAAAAGAAGTTAATACCCGAATATGATCATATGGTTATATCTCAAAGGAATAAAAGACAAATCAACGAAAGACATTTATGTCACGATGTGGCATTTCAAACAAGACAAATGGATATTGTAAAATTGATCTTTGAAATACTACGAGATAATAGCACCACCAATAGTAACAATAATAATAATGTTGGTAACAGTAGTAGTAGTAATAGTAGTAGTAGCAGTAATAATAGTAGTGGCGGTAACAGTAGTAATAGTAATAATGGTAATAGTAACAATGACAATAGTAATAATAGCAGCACTTCTAATAACACATCTAATATTTCTATTGATGATGTTAATAATTCTCCTAATAACATTACCATAGATTTTAGTAGTAATAACAATAATCAAAATTCACAGCCAGTTTTTTTATTTGAAAGTTCTTTAATTAAATACCTTCCATGGCTACCATCCTTCAGAGATCCGCCATTCACCAATAATGATCCAAGGATTTTATGGGATGAAGATTTTCTACAAAGTATTTTTATACCAAGGTTACGCCAGCAAGCAATTGAATTGAAAAACAATCCATTGCCAATCTCTACTGTGTGCGGTGCTTTTCTTCATGGTGGATTGGCAAATAAACGAATATTTGCATGTAGATTATGCAATATTAATAGGATTTATGATTGTTATAGAGTTGGCGGCTTTTGTAATAATAATAATAATGTTAATAGTTTTAGTAATAATAACATTGCTAGTGGTAATGGTAATGTTAATAATAGTAGTCTTAATAATTTTAATAGCAATAATGGCAGCAATGCTATTATTGCTAATACTAATATTAATAACAATAATAATAGTAATAATAGCAATGGTGCCAACTCCAACAATCAACAACATCAACAACAATTATATTTTTCATTTTTTGAAATTAGATTGCATTTAGTACAAAATCATAAAGTTAGAATGATAAACGATGAAATGATGATTAAAGTTTTACCTGAAATGATTGATAATGCTTCCCTTAATCAATTGATTCCTCGTAATAAACCGGAAATATTTTTTGCTGCTGGCTTTAATTGTAATCTCATCGTTAACTTGTAAAAACAAAAATTATATACTGTTTTATATTATTTATGTTTATAGATTTTTTATTCTTTTCCATATGGAAAATAATAATAATATAATTAAAAGAAATTTTTTAATTTCGATTTTTTTAATTTTCTAAGATTCATTTTTTAAGATTTTTTAAGATGACAAAAGAAAATAATTGGCTAGTTTTTATATGATAGATTTTATGCACTCTATCTATATATGGCTTATTTTTCACCACTTTAAGAAAACTTTATTATATTAAGAAAATTTAATTAATGTTATCATGTTATCGATGAAATAAATAGCTTGATAAGTATGATTTTTAGACCAATCAATAACAATAATTTTTTATTTATAATATTTTATTTATTATACACATTAAAATAAATTATTTTTTTAAATTATTTTATCCAGAGTTTTTTCCTCCAAATTAAATCCGCTTTCACCAAATCCTTTCTTGATATCCTATACAATATTAACACAATTAATATTAATAATAATAACATGATGGTAATAATAATGGTAAATGATATTACTTACTTTAACCTTATTAGATGTACTAACTACAATAACAATAGAAGTCTCAGGTTTGAATAAGTTTAACAAATATTTTTTCATTAAACCATTCAATTCTTCAATTTTTACAGCCTTTTTTTGTTATTATTATTTTGAAAAAGTAATATTCTTAATTATTAATTTTTCAATCAATTGATTATCATAATCATAATGGCAATGATGGAAATACCTGAACTTTTTTAATTAATTCTTTATTATAATCAGCGCTCATATTTTTTAATGATTGATTAATAAAGGAGCTTCTAGCCTGTTTTATTTGTGGGAAAAAATTGTCAATTATCAATCGCTAATTATTTCTAATGAGTGAAAAAACAATACTTACTGCTTCAACCAATGACGACTTTTAAATTATTTAATCATTTAATTAGCAAATTTATATATATATATATATATATATACACAAAAATATATATAATGATAATATCATTTATGTCATTACCTCATTCCTAACTAAAGAATAAATTAAACTACTTCTTGCACCTTCAAACCCTGTAACGTCGTATTCCATCTGAAAAAGAAAATCAACAAATCAACCAAACAAACAAACAAACAAACAAACAAACAAACAAACAAACAAATTCAATTATTAAATTTACCTTTTTTTCGGCCAATTTAACAATGACTTTTCTAGCCTCATTAAATGCTAAATAAGCATTTGGAGATTTAAAGACATCAAAATAAATAAGACCTAAAGTAAATAAATAAATAAATAAACAAATAATTGTTTTATCTCGTCATTACCAAACAATCTTAAATAAATAATAATGATAATAAGGGTGATTACCTGATTCAGGATCAATTTTCAAGCGAGTGCCATAGGCTAAACCTTGACCACGTATCAACTTCCAAAATATTCCCTCCATAGTCTGTAAAATCTCACATAATACCAACAATGGTGGGTAATCAGGCGAATCAAAAGTATCAGGTCCTTTTTTTATAATTAAATAATCAACAAATACAATTTTATGAATAGTATATCAATATTTTATTATTTGTATTACCTTTTGTTACATGATAAGAATAAGATCCTTCAATGGTAGGAAGTTTAACGATATAACCCTAGTTAGTAATCAATACTTTAGTTATTTAAAAAATCAAATTCTTGTGTAATACATAAAGATGGGATATTAAGTATTAATGATCAAAACCTTATTTCCTGGGTTTTTTCCATATTCAGTCAAAACCGTTTTAGCCAAAGGTATTGAACCTAATTGTTTGTTAAACTAAACAAAAAAAAATGGGTAAGTTGATATTTTAATATCTCTATTATTATTTTTTTTTTTAAAAAAAAAGACTCACTTCTACAATCTTGAAGTTTTTAACCCAAGAACTTATTGGCTTATCCAATTTTAAAATATTTCCAATCACATGAATCCTCATGTTTTCAGGTGATGTTACTGTAAATTATATATATATATTTAAATTTTAGATATATATAACCTCACAAATTTAAATGAACAAATATGAACAACGTACATATTTTTCTAAATTCGTAAAAGTCTTTAATAACTTTTTCAGGGTTTTTTGATAATTCACTAATAACTTTTGGTAGAAACTTTTCTTGGAATAAAACGTCTGAAATAAATTTATTTGAATTTTCTCTATTGTACAACATTGTATTTAATATAGTCGCGGTCATCTAAATAAATAAATAAGTAAATGAATGAATAAATAAATGAATAAAATATTTATATGAATAAGTAATAATGTATTGTTTGTTGATTGGTTATTTACTCTTGATCCTTCACGTTTTGACTCTGGTATATTGTTGGTAATTTTTGCAGCTGTGATCTTTAATCTATATATTAAATTATAATTTATAATCGTAATTTCATTATTGGGAAAAGAATATAACGAATTATTAATTATTACCTTTCTGCGGAAAATTCTGTATACCAGAGTATATCACGTAACCACTGAATTCCTTTTTGGTATTTACTTGCCTATAATTAATAAATGATCATTAATCAACCATGGTCGATGATGATTAATAATAACATTGATTATTAATACTATAAATATATTTGCCTCCAATTGAAGTTTGATGCTGATAATTTGATCGAAACCACGTCTTTCACCCATTGCACTATCATACGCGATAGTATCTTTATTCAATTCAGTTATAACTTGTTCATGATCAAGACGAACACCCGTTATAGGGTTGTTGAGTGGCAAGCCGAATATAGACTCAAGGTAGATTTCAATGTATGGGCGTAGATGACTTGGAATTGTCGATGTTGAAAGATAAACTTTAAGGTTTACAAATGACGATTTAACATCTATTATTAATTATTGAATTATTATGTAGGAAGATAATATGTAATCATTTTATATATAATAGGTAATCATGGAAAGAAAGGATACGATCAAATTGCGTAAAGTATGGTAAATCTACACTATTATCTTTGTCCAAGTGAGATTGAACTGTATTATTACTTGTGAATAGTAAAACAATAATCCATTAGTTTTTTATTATGAAGATCGCCAATTTGATTATCACGAGTAAATTTAACAAAACATACAATTTTCCATAAGGTTTATTCCTTCCAGTTAAGACTTTTATAAATGAAATATTATCGACGTTTGGAGTTGGAATTTTCTCTAAAATAAAAAAGGCAAAACGAAAATATAATTGTTAACAGTCAAAATAAAATTATTTGTGATAATTAGTAAATTAATAAACTTTTTTACCCATAACTTCCTTTGGCACTGGCACATCATTTTTCCTTTTAGCTTCTTCCAATTTTTCTTTTAGTTTTTTTAAATTTTCAGGCCCTAAATCTTTGCGCTGTTTCTCCACACGTTCTTCTTCATCCTTGGACAATTTTTCTGCGAATTTTGCTGATGGTTTACCAAGTAAAATTATACTTGGATTATCTAAATAATATCTAATCGATTGTTTTTTTTTTTTAAAAAAAAAATTAAAATCAAAACTTATTTTTAAATTTAATTTTTCCCACCCTCCTATTTAAAAAAAATCAATACTTACTTTTTCAATAGTTCTATCCAATTTTTTTGATCAAATTTCAATAATTGGTCATAAATTTCAAGATTCTTTATTTTTTTTTCAAGGTCTTCTCCATTTTCTTTACCATAAATAAAATCTAATTTTTTTTTTCAAAATATAATTATTATGAATAAATAGTAATATTGTTATCATCGTTATTGGTACCACATTATAGTATTCAATACCTGGTATAGAATACGTTTGAAAAAAATAGTCAGGATTTGTTTCAACTTCATTTAACATCTATAACATTATTATCATTAATATTTGTCATTAATATTTATTATAATAATAACGACGATGTTATAATAATAATAATAACGATAGTAATAATAGCATCAATAAAAATTTTCTTAATTACTTGTAACTTGATTCTTTTTATGAGTGTGTTCATCCTTTCCATATCAATTCCATCCTTATGTACAACTCTATTATACAATTCAAATATTTTAGTTGATACTGTTTCTAATTCTTTAGTTGGAACATTAGAAAACATGGCCTGGATGGTCGTGGTTATTTGATCACTAATCATGGTATTTATGTCTGAAGCGATATAATCCAATAATAGTAAAGAGTATTATTATTATTATATATGTTATGACTAATATTATTGTTAGATTAACGTCAGTGTTATTGTTATATTTACCTGTGCATAACGGATCATGGATTTCAACAAATTCTTTTTGAAATACTGACACAGACGAATCACAGAAATAACTATAAAATACAAATAGCATTAATATATTATTAACATTAATATTAAAAATAAATCTCCTCTGATTTGGACTGCTCACTCATTTAAAACTTCCAATGCCTTGATCTCAAAAAAATTCTAAATTATCAAACATATCAATATATATGTAATAATATATGAACCATATAATAATAAGTGGATTAATCTTGTGAATTACATTCTTACACTAAACTCAGGACCTTTCCAAAGAATAGAAACATGACCCATTGATTCATCATCTTCAGGAAATTCTAGAATCTCTTTTATGGTTTTTTTAAGCGGTGGAGGTTTTGGTGAATCAACAAATGGTCTAAAAATGTATAAAGTAAACAAATAATATTTACATTTTTTATAACACAAAAGTTATCATAAAATCAATGATAATATTGTTAAAAATACCTTTTGTGTGGTGGTAATGGACCCTTCTTGGCTATTCTGCCATCGGCAATATCAAGTGTTTTCAACAGCTTATCTTCTTCAACATTACCAATTAACAAAAGACATAGATTATCAGGTCTATAATAGTCACGATGATACTAAATCATAGCTTAGGATTGTTAGTCATAATAATTAATCAAATTAATTAATGTCTAGATCAATTGAATTTAATTTACTTTGCGAACTTTAGTTTACAAAAAAAAAAAAAAAACCGAGAAAGTTATTAAATAAATTTGGAATAAATATTTAATGATCATAATAAATTTAAAATAACTACTTTTTTCCACCCCAAGCTTTCTGAGGCATTCCATCAATCCACCAGTTTCATAACGATATCCACATCCTTCGGGATACATTAATCTCTGAAATCTAAGATTAATTGATTAATCAATTTATTGATTCGTTATATAATTCATGCTATAATTAATAAATGCAAAGAATTTGTATTTATTTACCTTCGTTGAGTAAGAGACTCGCCGCTATTTTGAGATCCCTTTAAAACAAATAAAACAAATAAATGACTTGAATATTTTAATTAAAATATTTATCAATTAGTGCACAAATAATTACCTGCATCTCACTGTAAACGACCTTTAAATAAAATAATATTATTAATTTCTAAAATCAAATATGGAAAATGAATTGATAAAAATCAAATCATTATTTATTTACTCCTGCATCTTCTCCATTTTCGTTAATATGATGAACCTAATATAAATAAAAAAAAAACGAATGTATATTAATATTTATGTTTATATGAAAAAGATTCAATGATATTTATATATTACTTCAGTGTAATAACCAGAATCGGTTAAAGTAGGATATAAAACATGATCAACGTAAATTGGTAACATATTTAAAAAACCCTCACTACCAGCTGTTGTAATTGTGTAAGATGTGTTGTCTACACCTGTCCATCTAAATATAAACAATACAATTATAAATAATTTGAAAACTAAGTGTAAATACAAACATAATACCAATCACTCGATCGATCAATCAATCAATCAATTAATTAATTACGCGTTAGTTCCTTGTGAAAAAGATCTATTTGCAAGAGTGTCAAGAACACCCTTTAATTATAGTAACAGTAATAATAATAATAATTATCATTGTTAAAAAACGTATTCACACCATGTTATTATTACTTATTATTATGATTGTAGTTGTGATTTTACCTTGTATGGATACAATTCACTACCAAGGAATATCAGACTAAAAATTTTTATTTTAACAAGTAAGAATTTAACGAATTTAATGAATTTAATATCAATTGATGGCAATGTTAAATAATCAAATATTACTGTTCTAATGTATGTGGACAGCCATCGTCATCGAATGCTAAAATAAAGTGGTATAATTGCTTGCTTAGTGATGCTCCTCCTTTTATGCATATCATTATTAAAACCAACCTTCAGTTGCAACTGAAAAATATCCATAAACAAGTGGAACTAATAAAATTATTGGAAATTGTTACTAGAATTCAATTATATTAAAAACATTATTATTGAAAGGTACCTTCGGCTTTAACATTGATGGCTGTTAAACCAGTAACAGAAGATTTATATTTTGTAACTGGAATGTCGAAATCTGTTTCAATTTTACGAACAACTTTAAAATTTGTCATTATTTTTTTCAAATACAACGATAATAATAATGATGATGATGATGAGAAGTCTGCCTAATATTCACACACAGTGCGCACATTATCAAATCAATTATTGTTATAGATTATCAATCATCAGCCACATTTATTATTTACAGAAAAAAATTAATTTTATTCATTTTTCGTATTATATTCTCCATCTTTATTATTATGATTTTGATTTTTTTCCCTTATTATTATATTCCGCCATTTCCTTACTATATCTTTCTTTATCTTTTTCGGCTAAATTTTTATATGGCTAAATATTAATAAAAATCATGATTAATTAATAATATAACATATAATATATAGCAGAAATATATCCGCAAAATATATTTAAAATGTAACCTCCGTTTCCTCTTCTGATAAACTCTTCCATTTTTCAGCAAGTTTAGATAAACGAGAAGTGGAACTCTCGCCATCATTTACATTTAAATTCTGCTTAACGAAATGAATATATGACGTGACGGGTTTCTTTGGAAGATTTGGATCTCTCAATAGTTTTTTGTTTTTCAATCCGCGATGTTGATTCTCAAGCTCGATATCTTCCAATGTTAAAGAATTTTGCCACTCTTCGTACTTCTTTCTGTACTCATTTTTACCTTGCTGAAATCTTGCTTCGTAGCTCTTTTTAAATAATTTTTTAGTAAAATAATCATATTAAATGAATGAACAAAATAGAATGCTCATAATAATGATGATAATAAATAATCTTACGCTTTTTTGATCTTTTGATAAATTTTTCCATCTTTCAGCTAAAACTTTAGAAATGTCGCCTAATTTTTTTAATTCGGGATTTTTTGTTCTTTCACTTTTATATTCATCACTCAAAAAAATTACATAAGGTGACCTTGGCTTTTTTGGTTCTGGCTTCGAAATTTTAGGAAGTTTTTCTTTTTATTAAAAAAAAAAAAATCCATGATTGATTAAAATATATTTTTAAAAGAATATACGCTTTCATCACTTTTATTAACTGAAGATTTACCACTATTGGTGGTTTTTTATTAGTTCCAGTCTTAGCCTAGTATCAGTTTAGTCTTACCCTTACCACTAGTTTTAGTCTCACCCTTTTCATTAGCTTTCGTTGAAGCAGCCGCACTCGACCTTTCTTTTAATGATACAGTTGCTTGCCTTAAAATACTAATACTAAAACCACGACTAAGCATTGTCGTTGCTTCTGTTGCTTCCGCTTTAGTTGGATCGATTAAGGCTGCATTAATAATGGCACTTCTTCCCTTTAAACTAGATGATGCTATTTGGGAAATTAATGATAGACAACGAAACATTATATTTTCTCTTTTCTATAGATTTTGAATAATCGCACAAGATTTAAAATACTGAAAAAATTAAATTGATTTTTTAAATCAATCAAATCAATAATAATAATTATTCCGTCATCATTTACCGTGTGAAAAAATTTTCTGATCTACAGTCAAACTCGTTTCAACGAACTATAATTAAATTCGCGTTACAACGAATTTTTTGCTTCAAATATTACTGGCAAAATTTGGTGTAATGATCGCATTTTCATTATCACAGCTGAACTCTTTCTTATTATTATATTCCAATGGACAAAAGTCGCGCACATGTTTTAAAATTAATTTCACAAAAACACACTTAAATAAAAAATGCTACTTTGCAGCTTAGGTTCATCGAATCGTGCGTGCAAAATTTCATTTCTCTAATACCTTTATTGAGCTAACTTTGACAAAAATTTCTTTGTCAAACAATGTTTGCTTTGAAAAGATCTATTGTTCAAAAACGCGTATAATAAATAACTTCATCTGAAATTTTTGAAATATGATAATACGCGTCTTGAGACAAGCATCATTTTTAATAAGGGTTTAAAAAAATCCTTTGAAAATTTTAAGCTCAAAATGTCAACCTTATCAGAAAGTCAACGTGGCGAAATTGCCGGTCTCATAAAAATAATGCACTCAATTACAAAATAACTAGAATCGTTGGTGTTCATAGGACGATAGGGTCTCGCATTATTAAAAACTATCATGATGAAAAAGATCTTATCATTAAAAATCAAAATAGTCGTCCTAAATTATTAAACCATGAAAATCTGCCGAACAAATTAAAAATAAATTTAATGAAAAAACGAGTATCAGTGTTTCAACCAAGGCTATTAAAAGAACCTTACATGAATTAAATATTTTCTGCGGCGAAGTCACTTTCAAAGAACAAATCGATTAGATTAAGAGAATAAATCCACAGTTAGAAAATGGAAGTCTGTCGTTGTAGTGACGAAAGTAGAGTTGTTAGAATTTATAATAGATTCATTAAGAATTGAATACTAAGTTGCATTTTTTTTGTGACACGGAGATAATTCTTTTATATTTAAAATGTATCGAGATCATCAGGAACATCTAATGGAAGTTCTTCAAGTCCCTTATAAAAACTTCATTTTATTTAATAATAATAATAATAATAAAATTAATCGTTTATTATAAATCTTATTGCTTCTTCTTTGGTTGTTGGAATAGGTTTAGATATGTGAGTTGCATTTTATTGCAGAATACTTCCACAATATAATTTCCCAATTCATTTTCACCATCTAGGCTTTATACATAGATGCTGTTTTGTTGGATTGACAAAACCAAATCTTTGACATTCTGTATTTGATTCAGGAGAAGTTCTCAGAGCATTGGAATGAATATCTTTATATCCAATTGGTTTAAATAAATTGGTTCGCAACTAAAATTGAATAAAAAATATATATTAATTAGTACGTGCAGCAATTTTCCCATGACATGCATCTAACCTTTGATGCTTGTTGGACAATTCTGATATGGATAGTACACAATCAATCATCAGGAGATTTTCCCCGCCGTAATATTACGTCCATAAATTTTAATATGTAAAGTTGTAATATTTGCATAAAAAATTATGTAATATTTATACTCAATGTAAAACTAAAGAGTTTCGCAACTGTGCAAAAGTCAAATATGAGGAATTTCTGATTAATTTGATATTATGATGGTATGGAATACCATCACATTCTACTACAATCCGTTTAATATTTTCTTGTGTGAAGGCGAACCTCTTCAACATATTAATATAGAATTGAATTAGGATTGTCATTAAACATCATATCAGATGATTTGGTTTTAAACCCTTTTTCAATCCTATATCTTATTGTGTATGTAACTTAATGATGTATGACGAAACTTTTGACTTTAGACATTGATGTAACTAAAGTATTGACTAAAGGTAATTTCTCACCAGGATATTTCGACTTGACGTAAGTAAAACCACGTAATTAAAAACACTTGACATAAATAAAAACGCAGCAATAATGATAATGATAAATAGGATTCCAAATTATATAAAAATGTGTGTCCCAGGGATGATGAATAAAGAATTATTATATCATTGTATGCATATTGCAATGATGCAAGAAGAATAATTATCATAATTCGAATTAGAATTTTTACTTGATTAAGCTATTATTTTTTCCGTATATTTTCTTTCAAAATAAAAATGCCTCTTCTTTTTTACAAATTAAAAGCATTCTTTTATTATTACATTTTGTAAAATGTAAATGTTTTTTCGAATTTTTGACTTTGAAGTTAGCTATGCGTAATAGTAATACGCAATAATACCAATAATATGCTTGAGCTGTCTATAGTTTCTGAGTTTGAAGAAACATATATTGATCAATATGGGTATTTAGAACGACCTTTACATAACACATAAGACAGGTTTTGGTACATTGTTTTCTATTTTTATCACTTTTAAATTTTCAAAGAATTTCTTTTATTATAGTTGGCTCGGCCTAAAGACCTCCTAAGTTTTGCATAAATTTTAAAAGTATAGAAGTCACTTTCTGTCCTATCTTTTAAAAAAATAACGTTATTAGTTGATAG